CTCTTTCCCCGCAATTAAACTATGTGAAGTGATGAGTCTGGATGCTGACTGTAAAGCAGATGTGGAGGAGCTGCAGCTGTGTCAGGTAGAGCATAGTGTTGTGCATTCTTCCCCGCAGTTAGTAATAAAGGTTTGCTGTCTTTGGGGTCTGCTGTTATGAGAAAGAGGCAACACACGTACTCACAGCTGTATGTGGTTTTTAAGAGGCGAGACACTACCAGTATAAAAAGTACAGGAGAAAACCCCAAAATGTAAATTAAGAATATTTAAAAAGCCTGTTTAACAGAAGAAGGTGTCTGGGAACTGAGCTCCACTCAGCAATACTGATGACTGCTTCTATGCAGTAGTTTGTGAAGAGAGAGGAAGGGGCAATAGAGACAAGTTCTAAACCCAGTAAAATCAGAGGCAAAATTCACGTTGATTTTGGTTGAAACAGTTTTTGAAGGTTCCCTACCTTCAGTATAGGAGATGTCAGCAGGTAGCTGGACAAGAGGAAGAAATGCCTGTAACCATTCAGTCAGGGTTCAAACCAAGGGCAAAATCTCAGCCAGCAAATAGAACCAGGACTCACAGCAGAGCGGATCAGAAAGAACTGGTGTAATCAGTCAGGTTACACTGATGGAAATGCTAGCAAGGGGATGATGTTGGCCCAAAGAAATGTCTGCCTCAGACTTTGTGATGATGCAAAGACTGCTGTGCCTTGGTAATTTAGCAAGGTAAAGCAGTATCATAGAGTTCGACTCTTCTTTGTTTGCATTATGCTTCTTTACTTACTGAATGCCAAATTAGCGCATCCTACATGCCACAGGGCATGAAAGGCAATTACCACAAAGTTATCAGATAAAGAGACCTCAGTATGTCTGTCTCTGTGTTGTTTTCCCTACTATAAACATCTCTTCTGCATCTCAGGAGTGCTACTTTTGTTGCATTGCCGGTGGCAGCCAAATAAGGCAAGTTATATTGCTCTGCCATTTAAATCTATTTTCCAACCAATTTCTATCTAGTGATTAACTTCCCTTATCAGTTACACCACAAAATAATTTCACTCCATCTGTGCATATCCAGAATAGACTCACTAGCCAAAAATGCGATTTTTGCCCTTCTCCGATTTAAAAGTATAAAGCCTATGGAAAACACTGGATCTCCATTTAAAGGTAGCTTTTGACAATTTGAGAAAAAGAGTGTCATTTATTTTCAACATGGACAACAGAAATATCGTATGTTCTGGAGCTGGACGCTGTGGTAAAGCCTGATGCTGAACCTAGGAAGCTACCTTAGGCTGACCTCTTTACTCCTCAGTTAAACATTAGATGACTGTGGGGCAAAGATGTGGCGATTTAAGATCCCTTAAGAAGCATAGAGATGACAGCTGTAGGACATCTAAAATAAATTTGGAGGAAATCTAACCTAAATGTTCCATCATTTAATTCCACCTAGGGCTTGACATCCTAGTCATGGCTTAGAGCTGTTCTCAGCAGCTAGAGAGCGCTTGTGCTGGGTTAATGTGCGAGTAGCTGATTTTTATCCAGGAGGCTGTTGAATTGGTTATGTTATACAAAATGTGCAAACAATGCAATTCTGCAACATCAAATTAGGGCTAAACCTTAGTTCTATTATGTTTTACTTTTTTTAACTGTTTAGAAGTACTTCTAGTAAGACTGCCACTGTAGCACATACAGAAGGGGACCTTAGCTCCAAAAGCTGTCAGTCCAGCAGTCAATGGGATCAGCGTCAGGGCGTGTGAATACTTGCTTGGGTGGCATCTGGGCTTTTGGGGTGGCTCGTTATAGCAATAAGTCATATCCAGAAGTTCAAGACTTCTACATAACTTGGGAGATACATGGATATAGGATTTTTGTTTTGGTCAGTAAACCAATTCAACAGCCGGTCAGTAAGTAGAGTCAAACTATTGTCTTGCTAGCAGTTCAATGGTATAATAAATCTTTTAGTAATAATTTATATTTATATAGTATTTATATTTATATTTATATAGAGTATTTATAGTTACAACCTACTTCTGCAGTGTTGGTACCTTGCGGGTTTAGGTAGCACATGGCCCAGTTCAGTGAGTGAGAGTTTCATATTTGGTAATACCAAAACCTAATGAAGAAAACAATCATGCTCCAACAGTCTCCTGGGTTTTTTTTGTAAAATGCAAGTGCACTATAACATTTTTCTTGGCGTCAGTTGTTGCTTGCTTCTTAATAGAACATGGTGCTTTTATTGTCCTGGTCTGTTGCTTTTATTTGGTTTGAAGTGGAAGTGTTTGGTTTTAAGAATAGTTACAGCCAAAGTTGTAAAGATCAGATCACAGCAATAGGTGTTGCTGGTGCACCCTTTAGATGTCAGTTTTCCTTTGCCACTGTACTCAGACACATGTCCATGGATTGCCCTAGTAAAGTTGTTTGATCAAGGGTCTAGCAGTGTTCATGTTAATACTTCTAATACATGTTAGTATTTCTGAGTGTCCTCCATCCTGTCCAGTAGCCTGTCCAATAGATATGTGGTAGAAGTAAAGCATTGCCAAAACTTACTTATGGTAACTGCTCTGGTGACAATACAGTCAGTATTATTACCAGACCTTTACTAATTACACTCAGTATTCCTGACATTTACTTTCACATGGGCTGGTCTTCATCTTTCAGTGGTACATTCGTATCATCAGAACCAAGCATTATGGCTCAAGTGTAGCCAAGTTTTCATCGTTGTAATGGATATGAGCTGTTATGTGAGTCATTACAGTGTAGCAGTCAAGACTCCCATGAACAGTGGTATAGATTTAAAACAAATCCCCAGTCATGGGCAGTATACTGACATGTTGCTAATACTGTGATTTTCTAGGTACAGAGTGCTAAAGTTATTAGATGATTCATGAAACTAGACTTGTGTTCAGCCAAGTGTAGTCAAACCTGATTCTCTACAGAGCTGGGCAGTGGTATTTGCATGGCACTTCAGCACGGAGCCATGGGGGTGGGGGGGGCTGGAAACAGCTCAGCTGGCTGCTTTCCTGCCCAGTGAAAGAGCAAGACCAGAGCAGAGCTCCTGTGCATGGGAGGTCTATGAGTCTGGGAATGGCTGAGGGAGAGGGTTGGGCTGGTCTGGGTAGCCTGTTCTTCCAGAGGAATGGGAGAAGAAGGAGAATTTCCAACTCTCCTACCACCACCCTGAACTGCAAGTGCCGCAAAGGCAAGCACTAGTGTTCTGGCCCTCAGTAATATCAGAGTAGATGGAAAGTTGAGGGTTAGAAATGGAAGAGAGATACCCGATATTACACCCAAGGCCCTTTGAAATCTTAATTGCTTCTTGTCCTACATACTTAGTGGGTTTGTGGTACTGGGTGGTATCATGATTCTGTGTTGGGTCAGGTATCGATATTGTGGAAGTGGTATTACCTACAGTAAACCCTGCTGACAGTCAGGTATTACCAAAGCTTTGCAGCTATGCAGATGAGAACATATAGGGTGCGTATGGCCAAAAACCCTAGTGGAATTTAAATTGGTAGTGTCCTACTTCAGTATTACAAGATGGCTAAATATAGATGCGTACATACATACACACTGAGCTTTCGTTTCACGTGCTATGTAAGTGTAAAGAATATGACTGGAAAGCTTTTGTCTCAATTCACTGCTGTCCTTCAGTTTTGGAGTGAAAGCCAACAGTGAGGTCTCTCACTGTGGGCAGCCTTTCCACCCATGTGGAGGGTGTGGAGCAGAGTTTGTGTGTGCTGCTACTCTGAATAAGCTGGTGTCCTGTGCTCATGTCTGTCCTGTTACTTACCTCTGGGCAGACTTAGTGTTCAGCTGAACTGCGAAAATGGCTTTTTTTTTTTTTTTTTTTTTTTAACCAGCTGTTGAAGAGGTAAAACAAGTATTTTTCATTTGCTATGGTGAACTATGGTAGAATTGTTTGAGGCAAGTACTGATAACAGATTTTTAGATGTCACTTAAACAATGTGGATCTGTGTTTAATATGACATATAGAATATACCTATGTGAGTGTGCTTGTGGATGAATGAATGGAATCCTTACAGATAAGCTATTATCTCTTCCAACCATCTCAATTTACCTTGTAGAGATTGTGTCTGATTGTACACAAGGTACTGTGTTTCTCCTGGGAAGTGATGAGTGCCCCCAACTCTTGTGGAAGATGGTCAGCATGTCTGTGGAGGTCAGTGCTCCTTAAGATGGGGCACTTCACCAAGATTAATTATGATGAAATTAAAAAGCAAAGCACAGAATTAGCTTTAGTATCACTTACATGATAGCATCTAGAGACTCAAGCAGCATGTTAGACCGCCATCCTGGGGGCTGTTGTGAGGGTTCTTATACTCTGTGCTGTAGCTGTATGTTATAGCA